CTCTGCCCACCACGGGTATCGAAACCCGGATTCTACCGTTGTAAGTCCGCAGACATGCCGCTGTGCCACTGAGGGACCCTTCTTGCTCATGAAAGACATCTGTTCAGGTATGAACCGTTTGTATGCTGCTCGATTTGCAGAGTATGAAATGTTTGTGTGTTTCTTGTATTCCCAGGAAGTATGATCAAGGTTAGAATATTTATTTTAGGTGCAGTTTTCGAATGTTTGTACGTTAAAACAATTTCAAGCTTAGAATGTTTCTGTAGACATCTTGTACTATAAAAAAAAACCTGATTAGGATTGAAGTGCCTGTCGATTCCCTTAACTCAGAATCTTTGTGACTTCAGAGTATTACAAAGGAAATTTTGTTCATCACTTATGTATTGGTTTCGTACGTAAAATAAAAAAAATCGTTTAAACATCCGCTTATTTTTCTATTAAGGAAATTGTGTTTATAATGTATGCATTGGCTTAAAAACTACACACATGTACGTAGTTTCTGTACATTCATAACATATCAATTTTAAAAAACGTTGTATGTGTTATATATATGTGACAGAATAAAAATCCGCTTGTAGCATTTCATATTTTATGCAACACAATAAATAAGTATATATATATATATTCATGTGATTAGTATATAAAGTAGTGTGACCTACGTTGTGAAATGTTACGTGAAAGCAAAAACCTAATATTATTACGTTATATATAATTCAGTAATATATGAAATGTGTAATTTTCTAACTCCACCAACATTTCTATATTTAAATTGATATTTAGTTACATCACTGGTACTACGATTTAAACCTTTCAACCAACAACAGTATATATGTTTTTCAGGTAATATATTCCCCAAACTAACGTTACCTGAACAAGAATTATGTGCTAGTTTGTTTTCAATAAATTTCACGTTTTCTTGTAGGTTTTGGTTTTGGTGCGAGTGATTATACATTTTTTCGGCGGTGGGAGGGAATATGTGGCCTTAATATAGTTTCGCTAATTTAGAAATTGGGTTTCGAAACCCACGGGAACGGACGACATACTAAGAGCACGACTTAATCATTAGAACATATCGTTACCATGGGAGTGTTCATACAGGACTATACGTCTCACGTTATAAGTATTTATATAATGGTTTCATATTTCTTTTTCCAGTTCTGTTACTCGAAAAAAACACAAAACGAATGTCACAGCAGTCTAAGCATATTCCCAAAACGTGACAAGTTCTAGCGATATGCTCCAATAGTACATACTGTTGTTGTTGATGGTAGTTCGTAATGACAACTAACAAAAACGTCGGTACTTAAAGCTTTATTTCAGAAACACCTGTTGTTCAGCATGACAAACATCAAACTCAAGAAATTTATATCTGCACATAAGACAAATCAATGCAAATTTTACAACCTATCACCATTTATATCTCAAATAAAGTGCTCTATTTTATCTGAAATATAAAAATTAACTCTTCTTGGTAATGTAGCTCAGTTACAATTTCCTTTTTTGTTCTTCTTGGTTCAGTTATGTCTATATCAGCTCAGTAACCAAGAACGCATTTACAAGCAGGAATGTGTGCTATAAAATTTAACGTTTCTTCTCCAAGCTTCTAAATTGTGCTTTAGACAGCGTTGAACGTAATGTTTTAAAACACTAAGATTCAGGTAATTTCCTAGCGATGTGTAATTTGAGTTTTCATTTGATAAGCTACGAAGTTTCTTTTAAACTGAGTATTAAATACTTCTTAACTGATTGCACGCTATGCTACTCTCTGACTTATTATTCTTCAAGTACCTCTATTTCTAGATTATTTGAAAGCTAGCTCTTCGTCCGCAACGCTATTAGCAGCCAAACAAATGGTATAGCCATACCTAAAACATGACTTTACACAGTTTATGTTATATTATACAACATAATCTTGTTCTAACCCATCCGAACTATTGGTCTACACAAAACAATAAAATAAATTAGAACTTATACTATTTGAGCTATGACAAGGCAAACTAGTCATAAAATAATACAATTCATCCCAGCTTTCTCCTCACTTAATTTTTTATGCAAATCAGACATTTGACAATTACTTATATAATCTGAAATACAAATAATATTAATTTAGTCTACGCTTATAAATTAACGTTTGATAGAAGTGGTATTAATATTTACATTTCATGACGTTTCACTTTAATGTGAAATATGGTTACTATGAGCAACAAGGGCAGCTTAGGAGGGAAAGTTTGGATAAAACGGCCCCCTTAACTTCAAACGCGGTTTTCATAAATGATGATGAGCATCATAAAAAAGCAAATGGTTTTAAAATGAACTATGTTTATTATAAATGTCATTTTTTGAAAAAAAATGATTGGACATAGAACCTTTTTTTTTTGAGAAATATAAAATGCACTTCTTGCGACCCCCCCAAGATGAGGTAAAATGATTCCCTTATAACTCATAACACCAGCAATTTAAAGTAAATGCAGCATTTAAATCACTAAAAGCGTCATTTAAATGCTCTAGACATGAATCAAGAAGACCATGCGCACGATGTGCATTATTTAAGACAATGGCGCAAAATAACCTTGGTACTAATGTGGGGCAGTGATGTATATTGCAGCCGAAGCCTAGGGCAGAAATATACGTCATTGGCATGAGGAAAGACAGACCCTAAGCCTCTCATCGTAAAGCAATTGCAGGTTATAAAAATTTAGTGAACTTGGACTGTGTTTCTTTTACGGTATATTTAGCTGTCTATAGTTCTTCATTTTTCAAATTAACAAAGTGAAATTCCTTTCACAATACTTACATTAAATCAAAGATGTACAGATACAAACAAAACATGAAGCCAAGTTTGGACTATTAACATTTGCGCCAGTCCACCAATGTGTTTATTTACTGGTCACGTGAACAATAGTTACATATAATACATTTTAGATAGAAGTAAGTCGTAACTGACGATATACATGGGGTGGCCGTGTTACGAAGGGACCTTCTTACCTCGCTTTCCCCCTACCGATTTTGGATGACTAAAAAGGTAAAATTAGAGGGTTAGTAAGATCCTGTGAGGAATCAACATATGGAAAGAAATACGTCTTCCAAAGACTGAAATATGTTGAGCTTGCAGGTCTAATCACCTGGAGAACATGTCGATAAATGTAGCACGTATAGAGCGGTTCATATTATAAGTTAGACTGAATTAGAACCAGTTTCACCAGCATATGGTAGCAAAAAGGATAATGAAATAGTATATTTACAATATGTGTGAGTGTGACACATCATACACGTACGTAGCGTTTCTCGTACCTGAGTGAAGTGAAGCGTGACTAATCTGTAAAAAAAGAATATTACTCAAATGTCGTTAGTTCATTAGACGTGTTCCTGGCCCTGTTAATATAAGCCATTTTGTACCTTATTGCGAGTGGAATGCACCTCAAAGGACATGCTGCATAGAAAACGGGCTTATAAAGTCTGCCACTAAGCGTTTGTACATTAACACATCCTGCAGTTTTGGTTTCGATTATTGATTTGATTCAGTTTCTGATTAGGTACTCTACGATTATGTCGAGACATCATCAACAGATAGCGATCATCTACTTCTGTTGCAGACGATGGTCAAAGTGTCTGAAAAACTGACCTATTGACTTTGAAGCAAGTTGTAAATGTAGACGCCATTACGCTTTCTGTTCGGGTCGTGTTTCGTTCTTCTTTATTAATTACTATCATCAACTTGTAATTTAATTATTTGTTACAATTTGATATTGTTAAGCACAAAGCTACACAAAGGGCTATCTGTGCTGTGCCCAACACGGGTATCGAAACCCGGTTACTAACGGTGTAAATCTTCAGACATATGCCGCTGCATCGCTGGGGAGGGGGGCAATTATCAACAGACTTATCAAAAGTCCCGATTTCGGCGGGTATTAAAGTATTAAAGCAAACTTTAAAGTGGTGTTAAAATATATATATATATTCAATTGTACGAGTTATATAAATATAGCCTATAGATGGGGGGATGACCATCACCCCCATTAGACCCATCTTGTTCTCAATATCCCACTGAACAATTTCCAAATATAAAGTACGCGTTAAACATTAACGTTAACTTATACTCGTTATCTGCTGATCAGACTTTTTTCTGCTGTTATTTTTATTTATATGTAACTCGTTTTTATTGCGTTTTCAACATTTTTATCACAGTCTGTGTTTTAAATTCATGACCACCACATCTGGCTGTTGTTCACCACGTGTATAGTGTTGTAAACCGTTCTTAGGGTGAACCGATCTTCCTTCAAATCAAACTTTACTGCTACTGGTAATTTGGCTTAGTAAACTTCTTACGATTCGTTATTTAATATAAATAAGTAAACTCAACCGTTTTGAAAAACAAGATGATTACAGGTAAAAAAGACATCTGAATACATTATCTTAGTCACCTGCCTGATTGCCAAATATGTACGTTACGATATATATTTGGATGAAACAAAATTGAACTTCAAAACTGACTCGTTGTTTTCCTTAATGTAGTTATAATGATTACCTGTTTTTAGTTTACTTTTTACGTATTAGTGAATTGGCCAGTTCACTGACTGTGTTACGCATCCCAGTTTAGCGTATTTTCTTTGTATTTTCTCGTTACAAACATATTTCATGTTTCTGTGATAAACATGCTGCGATAGAGGCATGCTACGCAATTGCTGTCTGCCTAGTTCTTGTAAAGTGTTTCTAACTTTCAGATAGGCCCTAGAATACATTGAAATAATAGACTCGTCACAAATATCTATGTACTTTCCAATACTCATTGGCCTGGTGGTTAGGGTGGTTGACATTGTTGCTAATTAATTAAAAATTATCTTTTTATAGCGCTATTTATCATATAGCTAAATGTGTTGCGGGTTCGAATCTCCCTCACTCAAGATGCTCGCCTTTTCGGCAATGGGGGCGTTATGATGTGACGGTCAATTCCACTATTCGTTAGTAAAAGGGATGGCTAGCGCAGTTAGCCTTCATGTATCTTTGCGCGAAATTCAAACCAATAATCATCACAAGATAAACTAACGCTATGAGTTCTTGCAGGCAAGTAACTCTCTCGTCATATTCGTTTTATTTTTTCTGTTTTTTTGTTGTTGTTGTTTGTATAGAGGTCCCTTCTTCTGTTTACAAATGAATTTAGTCACCATCTCTAATCCACAAAGATAACCCAGTCAATAAGATTTACAAGAGTTTCAACAGCTCGTGCATACACGTGCTTCAAACACTGTTGACCGTATTACTTGAGAGCGAACAGACTGGGAGTCAGTCTCTTCTTTGTTGAATTTGTCGTCATGTAATTACACGAAGTGAGAAATAGAAACGGCTTTGTTTGACACGAAAGTATAAATAAAATGAAATATGGTGCCTTATAGCAGGTTAATAAACAAACAAGGCAAATGTGTCCTTAAATATGCATATGTGTTTGTGTTACGATCATTTCAACTAATACAGCCATGATATATATGTAGTTTTCATGCAAATGATCATTTCATCTTTTTCAAGCGATTCGCATGCCCTGCATAATTCGTTAATCCGTGGTTGACACTGTTGCTATTTAATTAAAATTATCTTTTTATAGCGCTATTTATCATATAGCTAAATGTGTAGCGATCGGGAGTCTTTTTGAGAAATCACGTGAATGATCAACGCGAATTAAATTATGCACGTGGTTGCTTTTTTTAGACTAGTTATTGATCTAAACGAATCCACATACTTACTGGAGCACACTTTTCTGATGTCGATTTTGGTGAGTTGTGTCGTTGATGTATAGGTTTCATATACTGAATGTTTAATCCACATACCGTATAGTTCTGGTGGTAGATATTGTAGCGTTGATTTGGATACGTGCTTGTTTTAATGTAGTATACCTGATCCCTATATTGTGGGTCTGACTAAAGTATTCTAAATCTGATTTAGATACCATATATAGTTTAGATGTAGATGATGTAGCACTGATCTACTTTTACTGTTTTTTGGTTCTACTAGAATGCAGGTATGAATTACGCATTGTAAATCTGATCCAAGTATCGTATGTTTTTTGTTAAGGTACTGAATTTTTGATTGAAATATTACACCTCTGAAGTAGGTACTATATATAGTGCTAGTCTTTAGGTAGTGTAGCTTAAATCCATTTATTTTAGTCCCGATCCAAGTTTTGTAGGTCTGATTCAGATGTTGTAGGTGTGATCCAGTTTTTAAAGTTTTGCTCAGATAAAGAAGTTTGATCTAAATACTGCATGTTCAACCCAGTAGATGCGATTCGCTGTTGTTCATCTTACTCAGATATACTCTTTATGATCCTGATAATGACATTTGATCCCAGTGACGTATAGTTATGACCCATTTATAGTAGACCATACATCTGATTCAAGTAAATATTGCACCTATGATCGGGATATTTGAGATCCGATCCACATAATATAGTACAGTTCAAGCCATTCTATAACTTGGATCTAGATATTGTAGGTTTGATCCTAGTATCATACGTAGTTTACATTAAGATATTGTAAGACTAATCAAGTTAGCGAAGTCTTGTGCAGAAACTTTAGATATGATCTAAGTGTTTATCTCTTGTCCAGATCTAATCCAGGTAGCACATGTTTGATCTAAGTATCGTGTAGGCCTAGTCTAGGGAATGTGGTTCTGGTCCAGTGATTCAGGCGATGATTTTCTTATCCATACACCGTGTATACAAGATGACAGAGAATGCACTAGAGACAGATAAACATATTTATTCATTGTTAAATGACTTAGACGTACAGATACTGCTCTAAATGTTAGCCTTCGGCGCTTACACAATTCCTATGCACAAACGTGAATGCCATGCGCTTGTCCGTCTGGTTGGTCGTGATCAGGAACACTTTAGGGTCTTTAAACCTCTGGTTGTTGGAATAATTTAGTCAAGTTAGGGTGTTCTGCATGAAATTTAACAGCTATTCAAGTAAAGTCCTATGATTATCTCCGTATAAGAGTGCCATTTCAACCCTTTCTGATATTGTGTATTTCGCCATTATAAAGAACTTGAAAAGTGAGGAGGAACACCATTTGTGTATTTGTACAGCGACACCTTGTATATCTCAGGTTACTATAGATCTGCTTCAAACACTAGTTATTTGTACAGCGACACCTTGTATATCTCAGGTTACTATAGATCTGATTCAAGCACTAGTTATTCCAGTTGAAAACCAGCATAAATATTGACCAGATTTTGTAATAATGCTGCTAAAGGAGCCCGTTTTTGTCGGAAATTTGCTCATTTTTATTTATCACGACATTTTGGTCATTTGAAATGTAAAATATGTCAATGGATCGAACTATCAACTTATATTGAATGTTTACCTATGGGTAAGTCATTGATATAAAAAAGTTTGAGTAGTTATAAATAGCTTAGTTTAAAAGGAGCGCATGTGTATATCCAATATACGGTTCGTTTTGAAACTAAATGAAACCTACCTGGTGTTCTATACAATGGGCTAAAGTACTGTTATATTTGTTAGCAAATATATATGGCTAAACTATAGCATGACTATTCAGCTGTAAAAAGCGTTTTCCAGTCTACAGAACTAGTTAATCTAGCTATAGCTATACTCTGACGCTGGCACCACGCCCAGTCGACTTCGTTTCTCAGCCCACCTTAACTATGCATTAAGCTTTACTTCGATATTATTTACCTTCATATTCCGCGAAACTGGCTTATCGCCCACGTTTCTCGTGCTGCTTATAAACTGGTATTGCAAAGTAATGCGATCAGCAACATATTAATTTGCTTGGATATTTTTAACTACGTAAGTTAAGTTAATCTAGTTTCAACGACATGTATTTCTTTCTTTATGGTACATCAACATCATTTGTCCTCAATTGATTCTCGTATTATTTATTACTGAAATTTATTTAGTTATGATGTAGTTAACGTATCTTTCTTCATATTTCTAGAATTAGCAAGACATCGACATCACACTATAGCTCCACAACCAGTCTCTGCTACAAGTCGTTCTTCTCCTTGTTTCAACTCTTTGCCGTCTGAACCATCCGATTTGACAACGAAACGAAACACGTCTGAGAAAAAATTTTCCGAAGGTCTTCGGTCGCATGTGCTTTCCACGAGCACGGACCTGAGAATTAGGGTTAGCCCGACTATGGGTATTTCTGAGAAGCCCGAAAGCCGGTGTATTAGTGAAGGAGCTGGTACTGTAGAAGGCTCTCCTGGCGAAGCCCCGCTGTCCGTAATGAGGCTCGTAGGTCAGTCTTCGCCCTTGCCGGCTACGAAAGGCAGTCCTACCCTAAAAGAAGAGCCCAGTTCTACAGCACTGAATCTAGCACCATCAACTGACGATCTAAATAGCTCCTGTTATCAACAAGACTCAGATGAACCTGAAGACAAAGGGGGTCAGGGAGGGGATTATGGAGACACTAACCGAGGTCCAGATACAATCGCGATTGAAGAATTTCCTAAACGCAAACAGCGACGATACCGTACGACGTTCACTAGTTTTCAACTAGAGGAACTGGAAAAAGCTTTTTCTCGAACGCATTATCCTGATGTTTTTACAAGGTAAACTTCAGCAATTTAGATAAAAACTTGACTTGCTTATAGTTAAACATCGTATACGTACGTTAGTGTTTTTTTTTTTAGCCAAATGTTATGCACGAAACGTAACCACTAATTCATTTTCACACGTTTTGACGAACTTCTTCTTTAAACTAAATATTTGTCACGAATTTTTCTTTACTTTCTTTTGTAAGTTAAATGCAATATTGTCACGGGTACAGTTTACGAAAAGAAAAAAAATGGCATGAAATGTGTCTTTTCAGTTTGGTTAAAACAGCATTATATTTATATTCATCTTGATATTGAGATTTGAATATTTTCACTGGTTACTAGATATTTTTCAATGATTTAAAAACGTGTCATTACAGTTTGTATTAAAACTATACTAAAACTAGAGAACACTCGGTCGAGCGCTCCCAAAAAATACGAAAATGTGTCCGCATGTCTGTCGTTATCATCGGACACGGACCATTTTTGGCAGAACAATGAGGAATAACATTCTACGTATGTCCACCAAGTTTCACCAAAATCCCATTATTTTTGAATGAGTTATAGAGAAAAATCGGCCCCATGTTAACAGATAGGGATTTTCGTGACCTTACTGTGACCTCGACCCTCCAAAAACTAATCACTTCTAAGTTGGGTCATAGTCCAAATGTATATCAACTTTCGTCCAAATCCATTCAGCCGTTTTTGAGAAATATTGCTGACAAACAAACAAACACACACAGGGGTGAAACATAACCTCCGTCATAACCTTCGATGATAGCTTTGAATGCTCTTTAACGATATTTTGATCTCTGGTTTTACCTTCGTTTGTTTATTCATGTGGATTTTGGGTAACATACGACGAAAAATTTTGATCACGTTTTACTTAATTGTATCAATTTAACACAATCGTAGAAGACGTGTAAAAACGTTTTGTGGTAATTTCCAAAACCTCCAAAAAACAGGAACATACAGAAGATATACTTATATATTCAGGAAGCTTGAAGGAGCTACATCCTGTCGAAGTATCTTCCAGGCATAGTGTGTTATAAGATACTGCTCTACCTATAATTGGAATTGATAATATTATAGCTATGATAGGGCATAACATATACCTACAAATATATATGATATGGCATAACCTACATCTACAAATAGCAATTAAAAGACAGCCTATATCAACAAATAGCTATGATAGGGCATTACCTACATCTGCATATATCTATGATAGGGAATAGCCTATATTTCAAATAGCTTTGATGGGGCACAACCTATATCTAGAAACAGCTATGGTAGGGAATAACCTACATCTACAAACAGCTATGGTAGGACATAACCTATATCTACAAATAGCTATGATATGGTATAACCTACATCTACAAATAGCTATGGTAGGGTATAACATACATCTACAGATAGCTATGACATGGTATAACCTACATCTACAAATAGCTATGATATGGCATAACCTATATCTACAAATAGCTATGATATAGTGTAACCTACATCTACAAAAGCTATGGTAGGGTATAACATACATCTACAAATAGCTATGATATGGTGTAACCTACATTTACAAATAGCTATAATAGGGCCTAACATACATCTACGAGTAGCTATGGTAGGGCATAACATAAATCTGCAAATATCTATGAAAGGGCAAAACCTATACTGTGTATGGTGGTCCCATATATATATATATTGTATCAGTTGTCACGTTGAAGTGAGTTACATGGTTCCTGATCCATGGCTACACCTCACTGAAGATATTTGGATGGTATACTTATGTAAATAGCTATTGGATAGATGGAAATCAGTCAGCTAATCGCAGCACCCTGTTACAAAATGGTTTCAAGAGTCCCAGAGTGATGTCAGCAGAATGTGGAACTGCTTACAAACTAATGATACATTTGTATAGACACGTGGACGTGGTATACCACTGTTTACGACGCTATTCTGGCTCACCGCAACCATAGAGTAAGGCTTCAAGATTGAATAATACGTTCACAGCCGCAACTGGGTAGTGTGTCAGTGTACGTATTGTATAGAAACAAAATTCACAAGGTGGATCTGTTTGTCAGGTGCTATAGAAGATGTATTCTGGTGTTAACAAAGCACAAAGCAGATCTCTTGCTATGGTGACTAATGCAGACTAATATTATTTTACAGACAAGTCGTGCTTCACCATGCTAATTTGGAGAAATTCTGAAACCAAATCCACTACACTTTTACACAGAAATATGACACAAATAGCGGTTGTGGGAGTGTAGTGTGAGAAAGAATAAGCACGGGTGAGCGTCCTGACCACTTTGTCCTAGGAATGGTATGGATAAAACCATACGAAATAAAGAACACACGCTAAGACTCTTCGTTCCAACATATGTTTATGCAGTTGATCCCGAGTTCAGATCACACATACACACAAAGAGATTCTTTAAAGCTATTAGGGAGATACTGACCAGACGGAATGGCTTTCACACTCACCAGGCTTCAATCCCGTCGAGCATGTATGGGATATTCTTGGGAGACCTGACACATTCTTGCAAGTGACGTGACTCTAGACAGACATCTACGAGTAGCTACAAACAGTGCTATATAGTGCTGTAACAAAAGAATATATAATATTACTCTCTGTGACCCCAGCGGTAGTGAACAGAAAACAGCAACAACAAAAAACAACAACAAGTATATTACTCTCTATGACCCCAGCGGTAGTGAACAGAAAACGACAACAACAACAAGTATATTACTCTCTATGACCCCAGCGGTAGTGAACAGAAAACAACAACAAAAAAAAACAAGTATATTACTCTCTGTGACCCCAGCGGTAGTGAACAGAAAACAACAACAACAACAAGTATATTACTCTCTGTGACCCCAGCGGTAGTGAACAGAAAACAACAACAACAAAAACAAGTTGGTAATTTTGAGAAGTGCGTCTTTCAGGTCTTCAATTTTAAGTTGACTTATATATCATAATTATATGATAATCTAATTTACTTACTAGTCATTATATTGATATGTTATTATCATGTCCTCGCTTCATATACAGAACATTATAATCGTTTAGTATGTTGTTTGTTTTTTGCCTATGAGCAAAATTATTCATTCTAGTTAACAACTTCTGTGTATGTACAGTTATTAGAAGAGAAGAAGCCTTTTCGAAATATCTGATATCATATGAAGTTAAGCTATTTATCTACTGAATATGTACTTCGATGTTTTTGTTACTACTGTTCATAACTAGTTGTATTTACATTTTGTACTTTATCTCAACCTCACTTTCTATTTACTTGTTTTGATTCTTCTCTTTTTCTCTCTCTCCCTTTTATATCTTTATTTTTACGTACGTAAATTTATTCATCTTTCCTTTTAGGCTATAAAAACTTTGTTTGTATTCCCTGCTTAATTTTCTCTGAATAGAACAAGCAACTTTAGATAAAATATATCTGTATTTTCACACCTGCCAAACTTCGTCAACTATAGTGCTCACAGAGCTTATAATTGATTGAGAGTGATATCAGCAAATACGTGAAAAAACTCATATGTTCTTATCTTACATATATAAATATATAGGGGGCGCCATGTTTCAGCAAATTGTAATGAAAAAAAAATTTTTTTTTAATAAAATAAAGTGTTTTCTTTACATTTTTAAGTCCATAATTAACAGCATAAGTTTTTAGAATAAGATATATCTTACTGAGTGGCAGTCTCATCAATCAAGCTGAGATTCAGGAATTATATTTACTATACATTTGAAATGAGTATTCGAGAGATGATCAAGTTCCTCTCAAACGTGAAACAGTTATATGCGTGCAGATCTATCGTTAAAAACGTCTACGTCTGTTCTGAAACTGGGTACAAGTGACAGAAACTCTTAGAAAAACGACACCGAAAAATTTAGTTTCATTAAAAATATTGATTACAGTGTTATGTATATATATAATTTATTTATTTTCCATTTACTTATTACTTCTAATATTAAGAAAGTTATTTTGTAGTAATTCCTAAATTGGTTGAACCTTGTAAGATTATTTAGATTACGGCGAAAAAAATGTAGACAGCAGCGAACGTACCCAACTAGTGAATCTAATTGTTATAAGTTTCTGTTTTGTGACATTGCATGCTCTTAGTTCGACTTTTATGTTAAATTATCAATATGGTTAACTAGGTTTAATTCTGATATATGTTAGTAGAGCTGGCTTTGAAATTATTGATAATTATATTAATATAGATTTGAAGGGCTCTGATATTTCCCAGTGCAATTTTCACTTTTCTCTATATTCGTTTAAACTGATAATTTCATTCTTTTTTTTTAAGCCTTGTCAGCGTTAAAGTCAGTTTTAATGCTAAGGATAAAACAAACAAACCTAGTTTTAAGCAAGTGATAAATTTGCAAATTTAAAATTTTTTACAACAGTCTAGTTTTTATGATCATTAGACCCGAACAGAATTTCTAGAGGTCTTTAACTCGACATTTTTTATATTCTATGAGCTATTATTTTTTCAACATAAAAGGTTCTGTTAGAACAGGTAATCAGTCGGCGGGAAGGCCTGAAGCGAAAACCCAGATGCTTATTCTCGCCTATGATTCTACTATAGGTCGTTTGTTGGGAAAAGTGGAGAGACTGTTCTTAATATGGATGTTAAGACGTTAAAACCATAACTTAATGAGGTGGCTAGCAAATAATAGCTTCAACACGAAATTCATAATAATAGGTTGGAAAAGAGCTGCGGAAAGAGGAAAGGAAATGTATAGGGGTAGTTTGAGGCTCACCAGGACCACCGGAAACGAGTCTCACAATCAAAATCCCCATCACTATATCAATTCCGGCAAATTAACTACAATCACTTTAAGTCGTATTGAAAACGCTTTGTAGAACTTTTTTTTAATGAGCGATATTAAACACTAATTAATGATATTTGAGATGGTTCTTTCTCTATTGAAATGTGCGAGAAACGCCTAAAATACCTGTTAAAATTTAATTTTAAAACTTACTAATTAGATAAAATAATATCAATACTTACTGCATTTTATTTGAAACTCTGAAAGTCCAACAGAAAGTAATGACACGTTCAATACTGACACAACCCTAATGGCAACTCTGGAATAATTTATGCGAATTCTTTAGATGCTCATTGGTCTGTCTAGGTTAACAACAACAAAAATAAATTGATTAATTAATAACGCTAGAAATTAAAACTGTTCATATCAAAAGTTTAATTTGTATGAATTTGTACTTGCTCAACCTTTCCTACAGGTTTAGATGTTCACACTAAAAGTCTGATGTCTGAACAATTGTACTTAGTCAATCTTCTACTACAGGTTTAGATTATAACACTAAAAGTCTGATGTCTAAACAATTGTACTTACTCAATCTTCTACTACAGGTTTAGATTATAACACTAAAAGTCTGATGTCTAAACAATTGTACTTACTCAATCTTCTACTACAGGTTTAGATTATAACACTAAAAGTCTGCCTTGTGAACATTTGCGCTTACTCAACCTTTTCTACAGATTTAGATGTTTAAACCAGAGGTCTGTCGTCGGAACATTTGGACTTACTCAACCTTTCCTACAGGTTTATACGTTCAAACTAAAAGTCTGCCGTTGTCTGTATTAAAAGAAACCATGTGGTGTCAGCAGATTGGCCGACGACATTGTTTAACCTGTTGTATTCGATTCTAACAATACTCACAAATAACTGTATTTTAAGTGATATTCTCCCTGTTAAGAAATCTATATACATATACAGTATGTATATAACTAACACTATATGCCTTGCAGTACGACTTGATGGTCGTTACAAACAAACAGGAGAAGCAGTCATCACTCGGTTAGTTCAAAATGGCACCGCAATTCAGTACATATCATTCAGTTTTCTAATAAGGACATTTCAGTTGGAAACAAGAAAGTTTTAGTAACATAGTTAGTGTAACTAGCAGCACACGGCTGATGGAACTTCACTGAAAAATATATATCTATTTTCTGTGAGATGATTATCTGAAAAAAAGAAACAATAAGCATGTCTCACCAGTAGATGATATGTATTTAAAGTGCAAACGTCTTTTACGTAAGAGAGGAAGTAAGCAACGGTTTTACAGTGAAGAACAAAATCGTTTCAAATGTTTAAGTGGCTTGAAAACACACGTATTTATTAGGCAACAGAAAAACCCCCTTTGGGTGTTTGAAGTTTGGGAAGTATCTCATAAATTTTAGTAACAAATAAGGTACAAAACAGCCAGAAATGGGGCATAAAAGAATAGTTAAAATACGTCGACGTTTCACCGGCGTTAACCTGGCGTCATTCAGTAATTAAACCACGTGACGTTTCACATTAACCGGTAACATGAAGCCAGGTTAACGCCAGTGAAACGTCGATGTATTTTGATTATTCTTTTATATCCAATTTTGGCTATATTGTACCTTATTTATTATCTCTAAGCATACCAAAAAAAGTGATACTTTTTACAATAGCCGTACTTGATACATAAAACAACAAGCTTCTGTAAGTAAAATTAACTGTTTTTAACGACTGTAGATTCACGTGTATGTATAAAATACTTTAAACTGGTTTCAAATATAATATTTTCTCTTTTTAGGGAAGAATTAGCCATAAGAGTAGACCTCACGGAGGCCCGCGTACAGGTAAGTCAGTTGATTGGTTGTATCTAAAATATATCAACTCTCGAACGTATGCGCATACATAGTGTTCATTGCCAAAATGTTTGGTGTCCTGCTTTTTTATCATTACAATGTTAAGTTGTGAATGTAAACATTGATTGGTTCTGTGATATGAACATGCTCTATGTTGAGCCTGTACTCAGCTGTCAAGATACGATCGCTTCATTACGAATCGTAAACAAAATCCACGTTTTGTGTCTTAGATACAGCTAAGTTTTTTCTGTAGGTATCACTGGAGCATTGTATCCTGAGAGGTATACTACATGTACTACTTATCCACTTGTAGCCTCCGTTTATAAAAAGAAGTAATATTAATTTAGTTAGGATAGGACATTATCCCATCACACCATTTTGTTCTCTGTTTTAGAGATTTAGGTTGGCAACGTCATTGCTAATAAAAACAAATGTAGTACAATATTTATTCTTTTATTTTCCAAATAATAGAAATAACAAATCTGAGTATATAAAGATGAACAGCGATTATAATTTTGAGAAAGACTGTCAGTCTTTTAGTTAAAGAATTCTAACATATGGGGTTGAAATTCAAAGGGATAAGTCATGTTCTAATTATTAGGAGGTGTATTAATGCACTATACCCTAACATGCATCGTACTTTCACGTAAAACCCCTCTTGCAGAAATAGCTAAAAATAACTAACATTATATGCAGAAAAAACTCTGAAAATATGGCGATCAATACACCAAACATCAGACTTCTAACACTATGACATTATCAAACTCAGTGATCATACACCAAGCACCAGTGTTCAAATATTCTGAAAACTAGTGATTATACATTATCAAACTCAGAGATTATACATGATAAAAATCGGTGATTTTGCACCATTAAAAAACAGTGATTTTATACTATCAAAATCAGTGATTATACACCAAACACCAGACTTCTACTATTATGAAAACTAGTGATTATACGTTATCAGAATCAGTGATTATACATCAAACACCAGACTTCTACTATTATGAAAACTATGGATTATACATTAAGGATCAAAAACTGACATTATCAAAATCAGTGATTGTACATGATAAAAATCGGTGATTTTGCACCATTAAAAAACAGTGATTTTATACTATCAAAATCAGTGATTATACACCAAACACCAGACTTCTACTATTATGAAAACTATGGATTATACATTAAGGACCAAAAACTGACATTATCAAAATCAGTGATTGTACACCAAACACCAAACTATTAACATTATGAAAACTAGTGATTATACATAAAGTACCACAAACTGACATTATCAAAATCAATGATTACACTATAATAACCAGTCGTTCCACATAAAAACAAAAATAAACAATGTTTATGCGCTAATAACCAGGAGTATAACTTTATGAAAATCAGTTATTATACTCAAAAGACTAGGCCTTTGATATTATCAAAATATGTGATTACATACCTTAAATTAAGTAATGTTTAATTTCATTATAATAGTCAATGTGGGTGCATCAATCAGACATTTGACTTTATGAAAATCGGTTATTATATAACTCTTGATAATATAATAATTATCGTACCTAAATAGCTAGGCATTTTACTTTTGTGAAAAGCAGTGATTATAAGCCAATAACCAGGACGTCCAAGAGTCTGACATAATTAGGATTACCAAGATGGTTGTCTTCTGCTGACGCTTCGATTGCTCGATCACCAATTCTTCTGTGTGATAGTAAAGTTAATTCAAATAAAATGTATAATGTGTTCTAAATATAAATAAATAACACTGTGCTATTAATTCATACCCTAAAAATCCGATTTATAAATGACTTAAATAAAACATATAATAATTACAATTCATTTACTTAACTTAGTTCACACCATAACAGTTGTTGTCATGAAAGTTGAAGATATAAATAGCTCCGTCTGTTGTATCACAGCTGGCCTGATGATCTGTGGTAACGTTGTCACTGGATACAGCAGATGTAGTGTGGGTAACATTTATATTATAGGGTGATCGAGTGAGAGATACCAAACTGATTTCTTATGCGAAGAATAAAATACACTGAAGTTTCTGAATAACATATTTCATAGTTGCTGGAAGACGCATGGAATCTTAAAACAGGTATTGTTAAAAGCCACGTGTTGTAACTGACATTGTTGTAAGTCAAGTGTTCTATTCCAGTGATGAAAATAGGACGGTATTTCTTGTTGGATCACTCAGTATATTCTTCTTTACTTTCACTCGTAATATCTTAGAAATAATAAAATACATAATTAGATATCAATAGCCAGGCAATTGCTGGTATAAAAAATTACCGATTGTGCTATTGTAGCCTCGACTATTTTTAATCTATTAAAGTGAAATATTAAGTAAAGGAGTTTGTTAATCAATTGCTGAGTTTGGCTATTGTTATTACTATTAGCAAGTTAATTAGTTCATTGCAGTAAATATTAAGTTTATAGCTCCACAAACAATAGAGCTGCGAAATTAATACCTAAGTGAATTTTCTATTAGAGGTAATTTATTTGTGAAGTTAGGCCTATCAGTGAAAATTGGTTACGCTAAACGTGGAATGTTTAAGATATTGTTAAGTGGTCTGGGCTTTCATTATTTTTTTTACTGAATAATCCAAAAGAACTTGGCCAACAATTGAAACTATTACAACAGTAGTGTCAGTAATGATATTGTTTTGTTGAAAAAATCAAGAATCAACTTGAAGATGATGACACGTGCTCGAAGCGAGATTGTCAATTTCATAAAAATGGCAAACAGTGAAAAGAAAATCAGGAAGAAAAATAAAGAAATTTTAAAAAAGATCAAGAAGGGAGACATGAAAAATTAAAGGAGAATTTTAAAAATGAGTCTTAAGATTTATAAAAGAATTACAAATAAAAATAAATTTAATCAAAGAAGCCATAGAAAATGTGATTGTAGGACCTTGCTGGACTTGGACTACTCCAGCTACAACCAACACTACCTCATAAAATTAAGGAACTTAGCAGGTCAACTCAACAATTTCACCCAAACGAAAAACCAATGTTTATGATGGAAAGTTGCCATGGAGACATTTCGGACACATATGAAATAACTTTCAAGGTGAATGAATGAGTAGTGAATAGCAAGATACTCATCTTGCTGCATATTTAAAAGAATCAGCTTTAATAACATTAAGTAATATTCTAACTGAGAGATGTAACAACTATCACACGTTAGTGGCCATGTTATCAAACTGATTTGGAGGGTTTTACATTGGAAAGAAGTTCCTAAAGCAAAGTTTAGGAGCAGACCAAAAAGGAAGAACGCGAGACTTTAGCCGAATTTTCTGGAAATCTGTAGAGACATTCTCAATTATATTATACAGGTGCTTCAGGTGAAATGATAGATTCGTTGGCACCCGACTAATTTATGGATACCATGATGAATGCAAATATGAAAACTGTAGGAGTACATCTTTAAAGGAAGCCGTGCATTTCGTGATAAAACTAAGATAAATTAAATTCTCAGATCAAAAACTAACAGTAATTTCCAGGAAATTAAGAGACTGTCAACTTAATTAGTGTATAGACATTAAATCCGTCTGATGGTGGTCTACTCAAAGGATTACTTAAACAACTGACTGCTCAAAATGGAAGAAGTGAATCACAGGATGAAAGGTGTTTCAGTTGCAACGTAAAAGGGCGTACTACCAGGAACTACAGATAAAAGTTTTTAGAAAATAAAAACTGCTCCCAGAGAATGGCAGGAAAAGGAATTGGCTATAAGTGTTTAAAACATGAACATTATCTCCAAGAGTGTGGTGAATATACCGGTGATAATAATCTAAGGAGATTATGTGCTGAGAATTACAATACTCATCTGTCCCAATTGAAGTATGAAGTGCATTATTTAAGTAAACATTCACAAGTCAATGGATTCATTGATGGGAAGTCTTGCTTTTTGTTAATTGACACTGGTTTTATGGCTTACCATTATTTCACTTGATCTGGTGATAATAGCTGGAAAATTGTCTCCAGAGATGAAGCAAGAAACCTGATTGATGCAAACAGCAAGTGGTCATAAAGCCCTAGAAAAAGAAAAGTTGGAAACAACTCTCTTTAGTGGGAAGCTTCTTTACAATATACAACACTATTGTATAGATAATTGACAATGAGGACGAATGCATATTGTGAATTGATTTCATGTGGAAACAGATGTGAGGTTAGACTTGCTTCAAATATTTTCACAGGCTATAACCAAGCAATCATTGTGCACTACTCGAAAATTACAGCACCAAAGCAACTCTCAGTGACAACAAGGGAAGAAGCACAAGATAATAAAGATAACCAACCTAAAGAATCACCGAGAAAGACAGAGAGTTCAAGCAAAAGGTCATCCACTATGATGCTCTTTGACGTACGTCAGCGGGAGAATGAACAACAGGTTAGCTTCAAGGAAAACAGAAAACTTTGCTAGAAATAAGCTAACCTGCTGAAGAGCACGTCGTTCTTGTCGAGATCATTTCCAATGTATCACAAAAGACGGAACCATAAGCAAGTTCTTTTGATCACGTACCCGAAGTGAGCTCCTAGTGACAAGATGGAAAGTGGTGATAAAGAACATGTAAGTCACGGAAAATAAAATCGCCTCAAAGATTTAGTGGCTAAAACGTTTAGGAACAGCAAATAAGTAAAAAAATGTTTTGTTAACCAAAATTGTAATTATACTTTATGTTTTACATATTTCAGTAGTGATTTGATCATTGAAATGTGTAGGCTTGTGAATATTAATGTTGTTAATTGTCAAGAGTTACTTTATTGCTAATTATAAAAGTTTTGAATTTAATGTGCATCATTTTCTTTGTGTAATGGGATTGTTAAGGAACCTCATAATCCAAGGAGGGCCACCCAAGTGGCTTAGCGGTAAATCTAAAGGCTTATAACTCTAAAAACTGGGGTTTGATACCCGTGGTGATTACAGCATCGACTGCCTATTGTATAGCATTGCGCTTAACGACAAACAA